GAGCGTAGCACCTCGAAAAAATTACAAAAGTTAGTGTAAATTGTAAAGGGCGCGGCTTGCTTTAATAAAGAATTTTAGGGTGGCCTACGACAGGACTATTTCCTAGAATTATGAAAGAATAAAGTTTCCAATTTATACCTGCTCTTTACAAAAAAAATATTTCTAATATAAACGTTCCATTCAAAACAAGGGTTTCAGAGGACTTTACTCTAATTGACAAGTTATACTGAAAGGCTAAAATTGCTTGAAAGGCACGAAAGTCCAACAAAGAGGAGGATCTACCATTCTATCGCACAAGCTCTCTTATGTGGAGCTGTCAGTCAGGGCTCTATGAATGGGGCTTCCAAAGAGTTCTTGTTTTGTGTATTAATACCTTTTGTGGAGCGGTCCGTGTCGCTTTGCAAGAATTTCGTCTTTGTGTACTTCGAGCTGGTGCAAAAAGCGCCAAATGATTAAATTAATTTCAACTTTTTGTCGAGACTATCGCGTTTTGTACGCTTATTTTTTCGTAAGCTTTTCTATTCCGAAAATGGTGAAAATAATAGGATGTTCTGTTCGAAGATACAAAACAATCACAACAACCTTCACGTTTGCTATTCAACATTTTGTAAAAACGCCTTAAGCACTGACATTGCCAGGGTTAATGGTTAAAAAGCATTTGCAGATAGTATAAAAATTACTTGTTCAATTGAAAACCCAACGACGAATGCTTATACATACAGGGTTACAACTTTTTATCCGACCAATAAATCATTTTTAAATTTAGAAAATTTTGAATAGTTTCGAAGATATTCGAAGGAAATCGATTTTATGTCATTGCTTTTTTAATCGTTTTTCACTTGTTTTTCAAAAATCGATGTGAGGAATCGATTTTTCCTCACATCATTTAATATCAGACTGCACATTTTTATCCTACATTTTTGAAAACCAGTTGAATTCGGCTTAAAACAGAAATAGCATAAAATCGATTTCCTTCAGATATCTTCGGAAATATTTGGAATTTTCTAAATTTTAAAACAAATCTGTGATCGTCATAAAATTATGCACATTTTTGCTCGTAATCATTTCTGTCCGAATGTTCTATTCACTTTATAATAAAGCAACAGGCAATTGCGATCATTATTTTGGTGCAAAAATTAAACCAATCCCTAATGTTTTAGGGGAAAATTCCTTATTTACGGTGACTTGAAAATCAAATGTAGGTAGGTACTTACTTTTTGTTGCTCCTCAGTAAAAAATCATGTACATAACGTTTATTCGATTAAGACTCGGAAAATTTAGAAAAAACTGCAACTATGAAAAAAATTTTAAAAAAGTATTCCTTCCTTAAAAATATTAATATCTGTTTCAAAACCAAACCTCTTCTCAATTATACGAAACACAAATGGTGCACAAAAGTTGAGGAAAACTAATTTTTAAAATAGACTATTTTGCAAATATTTTCACTGTACTTTAATTAACTAACAAAATTAAATAAATTAATGTAATACAACATTTGACCTCATAATAAACGTTCGCTTTAGTATAATAACCTTAATTAAATTTAAAAACAACTGGTTTACTATTTATTTAGACATACGGGGTGTAAATAAATAAGTGTGAAAAAATTCAGGGGATGATTCCTGTGGAAAAATAAGGTGGGTTTTTCATATAAAATAATCTCATTTGAACATCCACTGCTTAAAGAGGATATCAAAAAAGTAGTTTTTATTTTTTCCTGGAATACCAAAAAAGTGACAAAAATGAAATTAGGTACATACTTAGACATTTTCTGCTATCGAGAAGGCACTCAGTAAACAATTCGTTGATTTTCCACAACGGCTGTAAGAGTTAGAAAAAACCACCCTTAAGACTTGTTTCATACGTAACTTTATTTCTTTAATTATATTAATTATTAATAAAACAGTTTTAGTTTTTTGATTTTTTTTTGTTTTTAAACCAAAAAAATGCTTGAATGAAAAAGAATGGCCTTTTTTTCCTAAAAAAGTCGTCTTTCAATATGCAAATTTATAAGACAGGTTCTAGAATGATATCTTTTTTTATTCTATTTTTTTTTTAATTTTGTTGTATTTTAATTTTTTACATATAATGTACGCTATTCAAACAAATTTTGTTATAGAAGTAAATCGTTATGACTAATTAATAAAAATACCATTTTTTAGAACAAATTCTACTAATATTGTCATTACTAAATATCTAAATTATTTTAACTAAATATTCCGAGTTTTTTTTCAATATTAAAAAATGTAATTTTGCATAATGCCGTAATTGTTATACCATTGGTATTTATTAAAAACACATTTATATATATACCAGATAGGTTAAAGACGAAATAGAAAAAATCAATTTCTAAAACACTTTTCTATATTATTCCATTAAGTAAGTATTCCCGCCAGTGATCCAAGTGCCACTTCGAAGGATTTGACTCCTATCTATTACAATGAAAAAGATGTTTATTTAATTCATATTGAGATTTATATATAAAGCAATAGCTATACTCGTATTAGAATCCTTAATGATTCTACAATATATTATTTAGTTCAGTTATAAACTGAATTGATAAATATTTATACAATGTAATTTATTTTTAAAACCACCTGACACGACAACTTTTTTATTTGAAGTGATAGACTATTATTTCCAAATTCAAAGTTGTAGAAAATAACTTGACTAAGAAAAATATACAAATAATGCTTTCCGGTGTTGCCAGATTTCTTCAAAAGCTACTAAAACAATATTTTTTAAATGGCAACACCGTATTTTTTTAACATAATTTGATCATGCAAGTTCTAACTAAAAAATGTTATGTCACATTTCTTTATTAGAGTAGCCGTTTTAGAACAATCAGCAAAAACAACGAATTAAAACGTTATTTTATACACATTCAAATAAACAGGTGTCAAATAACACAATGAGACCACAATAATGACGGCCCCTTTCGAACGACGCAATTTTTGTTTAATTTCTAAGGCCTACTGTTGCTATGTTAGCTTCTTTTAGTTCCTGCCCACTGTATATTATTTTCGTTGTTTTTGCTTATTGTTCTAAAACGGCTACTCCAATAAAGAAATGTGACATAATATTTTTTATTTAGAATTTGAAGATCTGTCAAATTATATTAATAAAATACGGTGTTACCATTTAAAGAAATATTGTTTTAATACTTACAATTAGCTACTGAAGTAATCTGGCAACACCAGAAAGCATTATTTGTAAATTTTGCTTAGTCAAGTTATTTCCTACAACTTTGCATTTGGAAGTACTAGTCTATTATTTCAAATAAAAAATTGACCTGTCAGGTTTTAAAAAAATTACACTGTATGTGATATGAACATAAAGGAGTACCATAATTATTGAAAGTAACCAATGCTTTATAATGTAACTATCAGTGGTACTAATATGGTGATTGGTGATAATAATTAAAAGTAGCTAAAAATCATTAAAATTGATTAATAAATTATTGGAAATTATCGCTTAATGGCTAGTGGCACAAAGATGATGGTGATGATGCTACTTACAAATTCGGAGGTGCATGCTAGACATTATTTTTTACCTATAATAAAAAATAAAACCAAAATATGTATATAGAAACATTAATTAAATATTCCTAAATACATATATTGACTTTTAAGAGATACAGAAAATTAGAACTTTCAACTATCAATATTTTATAGGTATTGAGATAAAGGCATCCCAGTTGTTTCGTGGGATCACATTCTGTGAGGATTGTCGCTTACATTTGAATAGACAGAAATTAGTCTAAATCGTAAAAATGTTTGATAAGCTACAAATTAAAGAAAAATATCAAATTTAATTCGACTAGAGTGCTACCAAAACCTCGACTGTCAGTAAATGGCAACAGCAAAATAGAAAACTGAAGTTAATTATTCATTATAACGATGCAGTTTAGCGACATAATAGCAAGTGTACCTTTTCTGTAGTAATTATAATAAGTTTTCGTATCTCTGGTTTCTCAAAATGTATACCAACAAAAAAAAAACGTGACAAAAATCAAAAGACTGTTTCAGATATTCTTAGCGACCTCCAAAAAAATAATAAAGGGCACACACACACACTTTCTATTCATCTTCGATCTTCGACTACCTCTAAAATCTTACATATACCAAATTTTATTGAAATATCTTAAAAAGTAACGAAGTTAGGGTCCTTAACTTTTTAAAAAATTTAAATTGTAGTGAGGTAACTTGATCTAAACCTGTTCATTTTCATACTAAAAAGCTACCCTTAAAATATGGCCCCGTCACATCCGGACACTCTGTATATGAATTTTATTTCAGCACTAAATAATTTTTGTGGCACCTATATACTTTTCAAATCTAGGTAGGTATGTTTTCCACTCATTATCTATGTATATGTAGGTATTATTATTACCTTGAATACCCTAAGTAAGAAAGTTTTATTCGGCTAGGTATTTGGTAGGTATTATAAAAATACTTAATAAATTTAAACGAAGTCACATGTAACAAAAGCTATTCTGACAAAAACGTTAAAACTATTCCCTCTGTAGGACATTACTTATTAAAAATAAATTACAAATAATATGTACCTCTAAGTAGGTATTTCAAGGGCGTAAAATTGATTTGTCGCCTAGGTACCTACCTACTTTGGCATATCGTTCCGTTGCCATAAAAAAGAAAATGTTTTGCTAAATAGATTGCCTCCTTTGTCGAAGATATTTGGTGTTTTTATGGATTTTCCGCCAATTAAATTAAATAAACTTAAACCATCTGTAATTGAATGAACTACGTAAACCGGTGACGAATTCCGGTATATACTATAATATATCCAATTATCCGACGTTAAGAAAAAGAAAGATGTATATGCACTCTGATGCAACCAGTATTAAAGCAACAAAGGTGCGCTAAATGCAGCACTGTAAACGTTAGATAGAGAGAGATATATAGAATAAGCCGAGCAATGAATCAATGTGCTGCCATCTTGCAGCGCTACGTCATGCGCCCGAACTAGTCCAGTCCGCTAGAAACAAACATGGCGCCTCAGACGAGCTGTAGTTGTCAGTTATTAACAAAATATTAGTTTTATTAGTGTTTACAGACATCATGGATAGTAAAAAGAGCCCGATTCGAAGAGCGAAACGTTCTGCGAAAGTGTTGGAAGATAATTTTTGGGATTGCAGTGTGTGTACATTTAGAAATACGGCGGAAGCTTTTAAATGCCTGATGTGTGACGTTCGAAAGGGGACTTCCACGAGAAAACCACGCATAAATCCTCAATTAGTCGCCCAACAGGTAGCTAGCCAGTACTTGCCGGCCACCAGTAATCAGAAACGAGAAAAGAAAGACAAAAAATCAATGAAGAAACGCAGGCATCCCCCGCGCCTGAAGAATGTGGACCGGAGTAGTGCTCAAACGAGGGAAGTTACCGTGAATAGTGTTACCGTGGTGATAACCGAATATAAGCCAAAAATTAAGTCGGCGGAGACGATATCCAGCAGCAGTTCTTCGGACCACGGGTCCCAGTCAGAGTCCAGTATGGATGCTCGGTGAATCCTCACCGTACAGGACAGAAGGGTGAGTTTGGTTTGTCCGGAGTGAGTTCGAAGGTGGTGTATCGTGTATTTGCTGCACATTCACGTATGCATACGTGCAGTGTCAGTGACTCGCGGGACAATGACTTGTGACGTCAGCTGTATGTTCGAGGACTGTTTATTTCGTTTTTTAAACTGCCCCATAGATGTACATCGTAAACACTACTTCAACTAACGAAAATTAATTCCTATAATCTCCACTGCCTTGACCAAAAGTTGTTCAGTCGAATAATAAAATCAATTGTTTTAACGGCATTTTTTATCGACGTTGTATTTAATTAAGACTGGCGAAGGGCGTTTAATATTCGGCATGAAAACGCATCAAACATCAAATGCATTTATATAGAAGTGTACCTATCTATTAAATTTGTATAAAATCGTTGCTCATTGTTAATTTATGATGGTTCTGTAAGAAATTTAAAGTACGTGTCCTTTAAATATTTAAGGAATAAAAAAAATTATTTTATAATGACGTGTTTTCTTTATGTGTGCTTTTATTTGTGTAATTTTTATAGTTATGTTCACCTCCATATTATAAACAAAATTTTAAATTAGGTACACAAAAATAAAAAAGCAGCGAATTAAGTAAAAAAAATTAAACACGATTTTTATTTTTTGTGTTTACACATTATTGAAAAAATTTTAAATTATCTACATATTACAAAATTACCTGAAAGTATATCATATTAAATTGACAGCAGTCAAATGCTTGAAAAGGACATAAGATCCCCTATTGTATAAATAAAAATTGCATAAATCAATTATTTACAAATTTTAAAGGGGTGTCAATAAGATATTGTGAGTTAAATAGAATAAAAAAACCAGCATAATCTGTTTATTTTTAGATTGTCACGTGAGAATATCACGTACCTAGCACTAGATATTCATCTACATCTGCAGTCAGTTGTAACAATACTGATTATTTCCTGTTCAAGTTACTGGCATTGATTTAAAGTGGTAAGTATGACGTTTCTAAATAATTTTATTAAAATAAATTGGATCGGTCATTGAGAATGTACAGGGTGAGCAAAACATTTACATTGTTGTGAAAAAGAAAACAAATAAAATAGGTAAGAGTTCAATTATTTCAGCAGAAAAACAAACAGCAAAAGATAGCAACCAAATTACTATACAGTGTGTCTGGTTTTTCCTGTTAACAATTCCAAATCCAGGCCTGCTATGCTTTTTTTCATGGTGCGTGGATTTTTTTTATCGAAAAAATAACACCAGGATTATTCGCTACATCTTCCAAAATTATGTACTTATCAAATTTGAAGAAAAAATAATTTTTCTACATGTCGATGAATTAAAAATAAAAGGATAAAAGTTTTTTGAGATACTTTTAAAAAATGACCAATAGGTTGCTGAATTAAAAGTGAAAGTTTACTGAATTAATCTCGAATATACTGGAAGATATTTGGGCATATAATTTTTTTTGGGGTAATTATTACTAGCTGTTTACTAGTTATAAGCGTAGTGTAATCCAATACTAGTTAGGGCACATAGAATAGTTGCTTCCCACAGTGTCAACCGTTAGGAGTCTTGTCTATGGGGTTAGATATATTTTGTATACCTAGATTTCTGGTAGCGAAAAACATTATTTGACTTTGATATATTTTTTTAAACAAATTTTTTCGAATTTGTTTGAATTGAGGTATTAAGCTAATACCTTTATAATAGAGTAAAAAATATATTCTTGATTCAATTCAATTGTTTATATAAATTTATATTTTTCAGATGTATGTATAGTTTGGGCATGACTTTTTGTTTGTCTTGTTGAAAAAAAAATAGTAGTAACCCAAAAAAGTATCTAAATAAACTACTAATCTAATAGGCAATATAATGCGGAAAGGAGAATTACATCGATCATAACAAAACACCTACAAGTACGTTAATAATAGGTATAGTAATAAACATTAATAATTTTATATTTACTGCTTTCATTAAAAACCATTTTTCGTAAATAGCTAAAATAATTTTCGTAAATAGTTTAAACGTTATGTTCATTATAAATATTTACAAGAATGCAATATATATATAAAAAAAAACATTAATTAAACTGAGCGAGCATATAGATGCTGAAAAAACATCTTAATTTGCTAAAACTTTAATTTTAATAAATAATTTTTATATTATTACATTTACCTAATTTGCATTTAGACTATGAATTTTTTCTGACATTTTTATATATAAATATGTATCTTTAACTACGTTTACTCTTGTATTAGGTACATCAAATGTTAAATAAATAATAGTTAATTTTTGTGACAAATTTCTAAGAACGTAGTCCCAGTTGAAAATATTACCCTGTATATTGATGTAAAACTTCTTCCTTTGAATAAAATAAATTATAATTGAAGTTAATTCATGTCCTAGATCATCGTCCAATGGAAACGAGGTTGAGGTTTAACCTCATTGTGGTTTGGAAACGAATAAAGATATTGTCATATCTAAATATAAATAAATTAAACTTATTTTTTAAAATAAAAATATCTATTTAAAAAAACTTAAATCTATGATTACTAAAATTTTAAATATAAATTAAAATGTGTCATTTTTTATCGAAATCTGGAACACCTGTTAGCTGATTAATTATTATTAATGATAAAAATTCATTTTAAAATCGTCTATTCCAGAATTTCGTATTTTTGTTACTTTTCACTAATTTTTCTGTTATCTCAAAAAATATATGATAATTTTTGCTTGTTCTTTACTTACCATCTATGTGAAAAAAATTGATATTTTCACATAGATGACTACGAACATTAACTAACTGGGAAATAGTCTACTTATGATAATGTTTATCTCTCCTTTCTGTAGTAGTAGCGTAAGTAACGAGGGGATTTAGGGGTCAGACACATTTCCATTAAATTTCCTTCCAAAACACAGATAAGTAAGTGCACAGGTATACAGGGTTCAAAGCCAGGTTGGAACTATTTAATGGGTGAGTACAAGAATGTCATAAATTATTAAATACATAGGGTGGCTCCAAAATAACAATAATGTTGCGTAATATTTTGTTAAAACCTTTCCTGAAATGAAACATTCCAATTAATGTTATATTTAATTCGTTAGAAACAGCATTTTCTTTTATTTTGTTCCATATCCATATCCGCGTTTTTTCAAAAGTGTAGCCCCCTTCCGCGCAGCCTTTGGCTTTGGATTTGGAGATTGTCTCAGTTCTGTGGTGTGTTTTATGTTGTGTTTTATATCTCATTCGTTTTTAAAAATAATTTAATGAAATTTGGTTTCTAGTATTTTGTATTTTTCCTTTTAGCTTACACGCCATATTCCTTCTCAGATTTTTTAATTAAATAGTAATTCATTAATTTTTTCATTAAATTTTGAATTATATCAATAAAAACATTTAGTATTTAACAGAAGAACCGTTCTCCAAAAAAATTGTAATTAATATCGTGAATCTACAGGATAAATGGTAAAGGTAAAGTTTGACCTCAAAAAATATTATTTTTAGTATTTTGAATTTTACTTAGTTTGGTAAGTAACTTAATAATGTTTGCAAATTACTTTTAAACGAAAGCTCATGGTTACAGTTAAAATAATATGTACTAAATCAATCGTCTTTAGAAACATAAAAATGAAGGAGAATGGTGCCCTTTACTTTTATATTTTTAAGTTTAGTAAAATGCTAATATGAAAGTTGTTTATATTGAATTTTATACAGGGCGTTCGTAATAACCACGATAAACCAAACTTTTGTAGCCACACATTTAACAACTTTTCATTACAAATATTTTTTTTTCTGCATGGGTCCCCGAAAAAAATATATTGAATACCACTTTTGATAGGGATACTTCTAATTCAAATGAAAATTCATATTTATTTATTTTGTTTTAGATAATTACAAACTGTATAATAATGTAATCTTCAAATCAAACAATAAATAGAAAATATTCAAAATTAAATATAACTTAAGATACAAAAAACTTACACATAAAAAAATGATAATAATTATGAAGAAATGGCCATTAGAACATGCCATGAGAGTAACTGTCATCAAAGCTAAGACCAAACACATAATGTTTCAAAATTCGGGCCTAACATGAATTTTATGGACTTAGAATGAAGTAAAAAAATGCATAAAATAAAAGCCTGAATTTATGTATTTGTAGAGGTTTGTTTATAACAAAAGAAAAATAATAATTGCTCTTTTTCAGTTTTTCGCTTATATCTCCGAAAATAAGCCTCTAATCGACATGAGGTATACTATTCGATTTTGTTCCTGAGCAAATTTACTACAACGATAGTCATTTGCGAAAGCTCGCAGATTTTTTTTTTTACATTGCAAAATTAGCGGTGAAAAAAATGTGCAAAATTTTCAGAATAATAAAAAGAACAAAGAGGGTGCGGGTGCTCAACAAATGCCCGAAATCCGGACCCCCATTTCAAAATGGCGGCGTATTGCAAAATTATTAAATCGAAAACGCGAGCGTGTATATCTTCTGCCCAAGTCAAGATATCAAAATTGGCCGAAATTAGGCCGCCATTTTGAAATTGGAGGTCCGAATTGAGGGGATTTGTGAAGCACCCCAATAGTTATCTTTTCCTGTAGTTTCATCCAATTTCAGTTAAATTTGTTTTTTTTATTTAATTCTGAAAATTTTCCGCATTTTTTTTCACTGCTAATTTTGCAATGTAAAAAAAAATTTGGGAGCTTTCGCAAAATACTATTCTTGTAGTAAATTTCCTCGATAAATCGATAAATATACCTCATGTCGATTAGAGGCTTATTTTCGGAGATATTAGCGATAAACTGAAAAAAGCATTTTTTTTTATAAACAATATGACGCTCGACCTCTACAAATATACTTTAGGCTTTTATTCTGTGTATTTTTACTTAATTTTGAGCACATGAAATTTTTTCCGATTTTTGGCCCGATTTTTGAAAAAAAAAACAATCCGCCCTGACTATTATTAGGTAATAATTTTTTTTAGTAGCCTCCTAGTTGTAGGTACTTGCTCATTAAACTACATCTCGTGCTTTTTTAGGAGAATCATTTAGAAATACATAGGCCTAATCTACATCACTTCAAGATTCCTATATCTTAAATTTCTTTAATTTATGACGCAGAGTGTTGAGTGTGAGTGAGTTTTTCAGGAATAATTTTAAATTTTTGTTTTAGTTTAAAAATCTTGAGTACCTACTTTAGAAACTCATGAGTATAAAAAATTAACCGATTAGTGACACTGCTGATTATGATTATGAAGATAACAAATTCTGAAACAATGCGTTATATTTTCAATAATTCATTTGTGCTTCAATTTTTTTAACCAAAATTATATGCCAGTGTGAGGTACAAGTCTGTTGCAAAATTTCAATTAAATATCTTGAAATACAATGAAGTTATTAATAAAAATACAAAAATCTTTTACAAAATTTTTACTTCGACACCCTGTATCTTTCAAAAAAATATGAACCTGTGGTTAACGTTTTGCCCTACCTTTGTA